AGGAAAACAGCTAAAGGATATAAATAGATATAAAGGAAAACAGAGAAAATAACCTTTTGGTGCAATGTTGATATTTTATATAAAAAAAAACAATTGTTTATATAATGATAAAAAGATAAAAATGCATGGTCAGCTAACATTACATTAACAATGTTGGTCAAATTGTCAAAGTGGTGAAAATGCACAGTTAACATTATTACAATAAAACTTGATATCAAATGACCAAAACATGAAATTTAGATTGTCAACTTCTGCATGGTAAAAAATACATAAAACAATTCCCTTTTTCTTTAAAGATTTTACTATATAACTCTTTGGTCTTGTAGACTCATTACCAGAAAGAAAAAAAAATGATTAAGTCTGACAACAAATTACTGCAATTTGCTACATGCTTCCAATCTTATTCCTTGCCAAACCAATCCTGAATAAGTCAATTATAAAAAATAAAGATATGAGAATCATACTTAAGCTTCATTATACCGGCTCATCATTAATCAAAACAGTCGTTATTTATTCTGAAATGAAGAAATGCTTCACTTTTCCTTCAGAAGCATTGGCACTTTTGTCTCCTATTGCGATCTGGGATTAATGAACTTGGGTATCCAATTATCTCATCGTATTGGTCACACCAACAACAATACTTTACCACAGAATACGACTATATTGTTTTTGTGACAACAGGTCAAATTCCTGCACTCCACAGCGCCAACAAAATCAATAGTTCTTCCGATTTTTTATTAATGTAATTACAGATCAGTTATTATCAAGACCAGAATCCGTCAGATGACAATTTGAATACTATTTATATTAAAATTAAGGATGGAAGTCAATGGCTATGAGGCTAGTAACTAAAAACCATTGTCTTGAGAAAAACAAAATGGAGTTATATCCCTTTGCTCTGGATTCAAAGACATAACAAAATCCTGTAAACTTTAATTTAGTGAAAACATCACTTGTGAAATATTATCATAATTATATACAGTGATTCATAGGAGTACATTTTTAAAAATAAATTTTTATCAGCACAATCTCCTGGTGAAAAAGAACTGAAAAATTAACTAAGATTTTAATGACAGCCCTAGAATAAACAGTGTGTGAAATCTCCATCAAAATTACATTAGTAGAAAAATCAGATAAACAAAGATAATTTATTTCTATATCTCAGTTTTAATGGTAAATACATATGTGTGAGTTACAACCTAATCAACAATTTTCCCTAACTAATGGAAACAACTGATAAGTAAAAATTCAACCCAGAGTGATATCATTTTATACTGCTTAATTATCGCTACTCCCAATCTATACACAAATTTTACAGTATTCCAGCCTTAATTAAATTGGACCTGTTTTTATTTTCATTTCTTTTGATGTCAGTGGTTGGTGCCTTAATTTGTTTAATTTGTTAACTTACAAGTAGAGAGGCTGAGGAGTGGGGGTATCTTGTTGCAAAATTAACTTGCCATTTGTTTGAGTGTTTAATGCAATGTTATTTTCACACACCCATTTATTCATATTGGATATTCCAAATAAAATACTAATTATATCAAAAAAGAAAGAGAATCTACCCATTCTCCTGACACTTTATTGTGACTTATCATTGTATGCTGTCAACATCATGTCAATACAGTCAGGGTTAAATAACAACCGAACAATAATCCACCCAGACCACTTAGCGATGTTGCAAGTTTTGCATGTACACAAAATAATTGTTTCTTCTTTAATTGCAATGTCGTTGAAAATTGATTTTTTTCACCATTACCATATTAGAATGGAAATAATATGTGTTTATTTGGAGATTTTATGACATTAGGCTTTTTCTTTGTATACTTTTACTTTCAAGACAACATATGAGAAAAAATCCAGTCAAAAAGAATTATCATATGGTCAATACAAAATCCCTTTAGCTACCAAACAAACCTACTTCCTACAACTCCAATCCAATCAGATTTGTTAAATATTGCCCTGTCCTATTACAAATATCTCTCACCCAAAAGTTTTTGATGTATGTCGCCTTGTCCTGAATATACACCCTTTAAGGGGATACAATACAGTTAGCAAGGGCAGATAATAATCACTTTTATCATCAAATCAGTTACATGAATTAGAAAGTATTTGCAAAGGGAAACAAACATGTAGTATATCTAATCACGCAAATCTACTGTGGGGGAATAATATTTTTTTTAACATCAATTAATTTGTATATGACAGTAATTCCTATAGCAGTTTTGTGAAGGGCGGGAATAGCTGCAATACGATGTTGCATTAAGAATACAAAGTAATTTAGCACCAAAAAAGGGAAATGGGATCTCCAGCATTAAAAAAATTGTCAAGTATTTTTATCCTAATTTAGCGCCCAAAAAAGGGAAATGGGATCTCCAGCATTAAAAAAAAAAAAGGTTTTCAATCTCTAGCTAAAAATGAGCACATGAACCCCCTTTTTTTCTTTTGCAATTGGCTATGTACTACTTCAGGAATTTTATTTTGAAATTAGAAAAAAAATAAATGGAGAATGTGTCCCCATTGAAACAGATGATGCCCCCGCTTGCATACAACATTATAAAGGGATATAACTCAAGAACAATAAAAGTGACAATACCCAAATTTGTTCTTGATCTGAGTTTTGTGGTAATAAGTATTGTGTAAAGGTTTCATAATGTTTGGTTGGGGCAAACTTAAGTTACAGAACGGAAACTAAAAATTTTGCAATTTTTGATTTATAAAGGGGCATAACTCGATAATGATTGAAGTGACGCCACTAAAACTCAAACTTGATCTGTGTTTTGTGGTAAAAAGCATTGTGTATAAGTTTCATAACATTTGGTTGAGGCAAACTCAAGTTAGAGAATGGAAACCAATTTTGGGACGTACGAATGGACAAGGGTAAAACTTAATGCCTCCTCCGCTATGGCGGGGGCATAAAAATCAACTGTAGATTTTGTTCTATGTACATTTCTTTTGAAAAATAAATGTCTACAGCTTTTTACTTCCAATAATCAATTGTATGATTTCACAATTTTTTTTATCACATTCAGTCTTTATCATAGAGACTTTCTTAAAGGTCTATAAATTAAGGAACACTTTGCAAATAAAAGAAGAATGTGTCTGTTGACATGAATGTCCGAATCAAGCTTTGCAATTTTCCAATTTATTAAGAGGCATAACTCTAGAACGGTTAATGATAAACTGCCAAAATTTGACATCTGTCTGCCTGTTGTGGTTCTCAACATTGTGTATGAGTTTCATAAAATTTGCATGAGGCAAACTTGAGTTAGAGTTTGGAAACAAAAAAATTGCAATTTTTCAAATTATTAAGAGGTGTAACTCTAGAACAGTACAAGTCTCACTGACCTAATTCGAACTCTATCTGTGAATTTGATTCTTAGCATTGTGTATGAGTTTCATAAAATTTGCACGAGGCAAACTTAAGTTAGTGTGCAGAAACATACACATTTGCAATTTTCCAAGTTATAAAGGGGCACAACTAAAAAAATGGTAAGTGACTCAACACTAAAATCAGTTCTGTCTTGGTTGTTAGCATTGTTTTTGAGTTTCATAAAATTTGCATGAGGCAAACTTAAGTTAGAGTGCGGAAACGAAAATGGGATGGTCAAGGATAACACTTTATGGCCCCTTCGCTTACGCAGGGAGGTTTGGGACGGGATGGGGCATAAAAAATTGGTGAAAAGATATCTTTTTGTTACAAAGTAGTGTTATTTTTTAGGAAAAGTATTGAAAAATGAAATTTTGCGTTTTTACATGAAATAGGCAAATTTCAAACTGATTATCTCAAAAAAAAAGTCATTAAGGTATAATTGTCCCTACATATTTCGATTGCGCATATCAAAATTGACTTTGTGTCAAAATTCTAAGGAAAAATCCAAAAAAAATCTTTTCTGTTTTGTATGCCCTTAACTCAGATTTGTTTGATGGTGTCCTGTGAGTTATCAAAATAATCAAACTGATGGTATCAATAATCATAAGAACCCTGAACTTGACAGTAACAGGTGAGATATGAACCACCAACTGTATCCCATAACATCAATCATTCTCATTAATACAAATCTAATTAACTATCTACAATAGGTGACCAGTCTACACTGCAGAGACTGAACCTTATCATTTTACATCTCTTAATTATCTGCTAGCAATCATGATCTAAAATCCTATTGATATCTGTTGTGTTAACTGGACACCTTTGACTATTTCAAAAACATGAATGCAACAGGTGTGCACTTTATTTCTTTAAGACCAGTTGTTTCATGACTTCATTTATGATCAGAATATGCATAAAAGCAGATTCAAAAACACTATCTGACACCCCCCTAAAAAACACAACAACAAAAAGGCTATTTAGCAATAGGCAAAGCATGCTTGAGACAATACAAGGGACTATAGATATTAGCTTTTCTCTGTGTTGACTTTGATTTGAAGAATTGCAATGCAAGTGCTGTTACTTTGCTTTATGTTTTAAATATGGTGTAAGAATTTCATGCCATGTAAGTTTCCTGGTAATTCACCATATTTTCTTTTTCATTAAGTTATGGTTGCATTGAAAAGGATATATAGATTAACATATGATTTACCTCAATAGTATTTTTATAACCGAACTCATACAAATGTTAACTTGTTTTTCTTGTGAAGGTCATCACAATTAAAAAAAAAGTTAACACTTCTATGAATTTGATTTTTATGATAAAAAAATCAAGAGATTTCACATTAGTCATCACATAAGAAATAAATTATAACAAACAAACATTTTTTCAAGTTCCAACATTTAGAGGGTAAACTGAGCTTTTTCATAGGATTACCTATCATGTTTGAGGGAAACCAATAATGAAACCATATCAAGGAATAAAAACATTTGGATTGAAAATTTCACTTATGACCTTTTAGATATATATATATATAAAAAAAATAAGGCTGAAATATATATACTTACTAATTGTGATTTACATGAAATGATTAGGTAAGTCATTATTATAACTTATTTGTAAATGTACCTTTTCATTCCGTTGTAAATGAGATGGCTAGGATTTCAACTGTAGTTCTCTGTAAAAATAAATTAATACTTATTAAGAATCATTTAAAGTCGTATTTCAAACAAAGGCCGACAAGAAGTTCATTTGCCTGTGATTTTTTTCTTTTGATCACAAGATGTAATTGAGAATATGAAATTTATTATGAAAGTTGAGCAAATTTAGTACATGATTTGAGTTAAAAGAAAAGCTCTTTATGACAAAATTAAAATCAATAATTTTGACAAATTAAAGTATATTTGAGAAAGAATATCACTGATAAAACAAGTGCAGACCTATCATTTTGTCTAGTATATATATCAGGGAGACTAAGAAATCATCAAATCAAAGAAGTGCTTTTTCAAAATACAAACATTGTTTAACATTCCCTAACAAAAACAAGTGTACACACGTTGAAATGTCTCGCATGCATGCTTTACTGATCATTGAATTTATGTTGATAGTCCTAAATATAAAGCGTTACTACAAGTATCACATAAACTTAACATGATCCAAGACAATGAGGCCAAGGTCAGATAAACCAAGCCTGAAATACATGTACACCTTACAATCATTCCATACACAAAATATAGTTGACCTATTGCTTATATTTTCTAAGAAACAAACTTAGCCAGGAAAATTTAACATTGACCAATGAACCATGAAAATGAGGTCAAGGTAAGATGAACCATGCCAGACAGACATGTACACCTTACAGTCAATCTATGCATTAAATATAGTTGACCTATTGCTTATAGTATCTAAGAAACAAACTTAACCATGAAAATTTAACATTGACCAATGAACCATGAATATGAGGTCAAGGTCAGATGATACCTGCAAGACAGACATATACACCTTACAATCATTCCATACACCAAATATAGTTGACCTATTGCTTAAAGTTTAAGAAAAACAGACCAAAACACAAAAACTTAACATGGGGCAATGAACCGTGAAAATGAGGTCAAGGTCAAATTAAACCTGCCAGACTGACATGTACATCGTAAAATATTTCCATACCCCCAATATAGACCTTTTGCATATAGTATTAGTAAAAAAGACCAAAACACAAAAACTTACTTTAACCACTGAACCATGAAAATGAGATCAAGGTCAGATGACACCTGCCAGTTGGACATGTACACCTTACAATCTTTCCATACACCAAATATAGCAGACCTATTGCTTATAGTATCTGATATATGGACTTGACCATGAAAATTTAACCTGTTCACTAATCCATGAAATGAGGTCAAGGTCAGATGAAAACTGTCTGACAAGCATGAGGACCTTGCAAGGTACGCACATACTAAATATAGTTATCCTATTACTCATAATAAGAGAGAAATTAACATTACAAAAAATCTTAACTTTTTTTAAAATAGTCACTGAACCATGAAAATGAGGCCAAGGACAATGGACATATAACAGACGGAAACTTCATAACATAAGGCATCTATATACAAAGTATGAAGCATCCAGGTCTTTCACCTTATAAAATATAAAAGTAGTTAGTTAACGCCGCCGCTGTCGGATCACTATCCCTATGTCGAGCTTTCTGCAACAGAAGTCGCAGGCTCGACAAAAAACCATTTATTCATAAATATCTAACAGGACACATAAGTTTATGCTAGGGGTATCATTATTATGGGCTCTCTCTTGTCCATTAATAAAGACCTTCAAGTACAGTTAAGATGAAGAACAATTATGAGTGGTCATTTCCTCATTCTTTTTCAGAGAATTTATAAAAAGAACATGTCTATGACTCTATCATACAAATTTGAGTCATTTGCCTTTGGATGTTAAAAATACAACAATCAATAGATCAAATGTGTGACTATCAACATTCTTGCAATTCTAAGAAAATTAAGAAAATACCAAGGGGTCATTCAAATATCATATTTTGAAGGTCAGACAATACTGCAGCAGAAAAAAAATAAAATGAAAAGATGAAAGGCAATTAAAAACCCCTAAAGATTGTTCAACATGAAACCAAGTAAGCCCACTAGTTGCTCTGTCAGGTTGCTTATTACATAAGAGCATCATGCAGCAACATGAATTGTACAAAATAAACTTTACTACATGTAAGGAAAACACACAAAACCATAGACTACCACATAAAGTATCTCAAAGACCTGTGAACATTTAAACAACTGAAATAACACTGAGAACAAAAGCATGGGTGACAAAAAATAAAACCTGGGAGTGATATCATGTGTTCTTGAAGGGTAAGCATATCCAAAAGGTCTTCAGAGTAGCCAAGAACCATAAATCCTGCTTATATCAAACTCATAGCATCAGTCAACATGTGTTGATCTAAAATGTGCCACTGTTGCATAACAGTCAAAGTGTTGCTTTTCCTAATGTAACACTGTGGTATAACAGCCATACAGTTGCTCAATTTGCTAATGTAACACTGATATATAACAGCCATACAGTTGCTATATTTGCTAATGTAACACTGATGTATAACAGCCATACAGTTGCTATATTTGCTAATGTAACACTGTTGTATAACAGACAAAGTACTGCTATATTTGCCAATTTGACACTGTTGTATAATAATCATACAGTTGCTGTATTTGCCTATGTAAAAATGTTGTATAACAGACAAAGTACTGCTATATTTGCTAATGTGACATTGTTGTATAACAGCCATACAGTTACTATATTTGCTAATGTGACATTGTTGTATAACAGCTATACAGTTGCTATATTTGCTAATGTGACATTGTTGTATAACAGCCATACAGTTGCTATATTTGCTAATGTGACATTGTTGTATAACAGCCATACAGTTACTATATTTGCTAATGTGGCATTGTTGTATAACAGCCATACAGTTGCTATATTTGCTAATGTGGCATTGTTGTATAACAGTCATACACTTGCTATATTTGCTAATGTGGCATAGGTGTATAACAGTCATACAGTTGCTATATTTGCTAATGTGACAATGTTGTATAACAGTCATACAGTTGCTATATTTGCTAATGTGACCTTGTTGTATAACAGCCATACAGTTACTATATTTTCTAATGTGACATTGTTGTATAACAGCCATACAGTTACTATATTTGTTAATGTGGCATTGTTGTATAACAGCTATACAGTTGCTATATTTGCTAATGTGACATTGTTGTATAACAGCCATACAGTTGCTATATTTGCTAATGTGACATTGTTGTATAACAGTCATACAGTTGCTATATTTGCTAATGTGACATTGTTGTATAACAGCCATACAGTTACTATATTTGGTAATGTGGCATTGTTGTATAACAGCTATACAGTTGCTATATTTGCTAATGTGACATTGTTGTATAACAGCCATACAGTTGCTATATTTGCTAATGTGACATTGTTGTATAACAGTCATACAGTTGCTATATTTGCTAATGTGACATTGTTGTATAACAGCCATACAGTTACTATATTTGCTAATGTGGCATTGTTGTATAACAGTCATACAGTTGCTATATTTGCTAATGTGACATTGTTGTATAACAGTCATACAGTTGCTATATTTGCCAATGTGACATTGTTGTATAACAGCCATACAGTTACTATATTTGCTAATGTGACATCGTTGTATAACAGCCATACAGTTGCTATATTTTCTAATGTGACATTGTTGTATAACAGACATACAGTTGCTATATTTGCTAATGTGACATTATTGTATAACAGCCATACAGTTAATATATTTGCTAATGTGACCTTGTTGTTTAACAGCTATACAGTTGCTATATTTGCTAATGTGGCATTGTTGTATAACAGTCATACAGTTGCTATATTTGCTAATGTGACATTGGTGTATAACAGTCATACAGTTGCTATATTTGCTAATGTGACAATGTTGTATAACAGTCATACAGTTTCTATATTTGCTAATGTGACCTTGTTGTATAACAGCCATACAATTACTATATTTGCTAATGTGACATTGTTGTATAACAGCCATACAGTTGCTATATTTGCTAATGTGACATTGTTGTATAACAGACATACAATTACTATATTTGCTAATGTGACATTGTTGTATAACAGTCATACAGTTGCTATATTTGCTAATGTGACATTGTTGTATAACAGTCATACAGTTGCTATATTTGCTAATGTGACATTATTGTACAACAGCCATACAGTTGCTATATTTGCTAATGTGACATTGTTGTATAACAGCCATACAGTTGCTATATTTGCTAATGTAACACTGATGTACAACAGCCATACAGTTGCTATATTTGCTAATGTAACACTGTTGTATAACAGACAAAGTACTGCTATATTTGCCAATTTGACACTGTTGTATAATACTCATACAGTTGCTATATCTGCTAATGTAACACTGATTTATAACAGCCATACAGTTGCTATATTTGCTAATGTAACACTGTTGTATAACAGACAAAGTACTGCTATATTTGCCAATTTGACACTGTTGTATAATACTCATACAGTTGCTGTATTTGCTTATGTGACATTGTTGTATAACAGTCATACAGTTACTATATTTGCTCATGTGGCATTGTTATTTAACATTCATTAATAAAATAATTGCCAACAGCTCTGCTTGTTACAAAATAAAATTTAACAGTTTATCAAATACTGCAGTACTTTTTACTCTGTCAATATCATCTGTTGTGAAGCCTATTGTATAAACACAATAAAAGGTTATTACAGATGTCCTTCCTTTTTGACAATCTGTTATGACTGTAACATGGTTCTCATCTGTTCAGCTGTGATACAATCTTACTTAACACAGTCAAAAAGAATATATGATAAAAACTGTATCCAGTCATCTTGAATAATGTTGAACACTTAAATTTGCTAATACCCACAAATAGGGGTAGGTAGGGTTATAGCCTATTTTGGTGCAAAAAATCAATAAAAACATAAAATGCTTTATGATTGCCAATGAGACAACTATCCGCCAGAGACCAAATGAGGTAGATAGAAGAAACTATAGATCACCATATGGCCTTCAACAATGTGCAAAATCCACATATAATGAGCTATAAAAGGCCC